ACCCCACTCACATGCTCAAATGCAGTAGATTTTCTCTTAAGTTGTTTAACAGTTGGGCTAGATTAAAAAAAGCAGCAGAGGAGGAAATATCAGAGGGAGTAGGGGAAATATCACAATTCGAGTATATGAACTTTTATAATATTGGTATAAAGAAACAAATAGAAAGATATTGCTGTTATAATAGCACTGAGGAAGGTGAAAGAAAGGGATACAGGTTTCCAGCCAGCTCCCACATTTCTGAAACTCACCTGGACTTGCCATCTCTGCAGAATTTGACCAGATGAAAATAGGTGTGAGAGCAGAAGAGCTGCAGCTTCCTGCCTGGCAGAGGGAGGCGAAGCGGAGGGGCAGCCCCTGCACGCGCTGCCGAGGAGCAGCTTTCCAGGGAAAACGGCCCCATTCTGGCCTCCAGGAGGGCTACAAGGTACTGCTCGCTATCTGAGTGAGGCCACGGCCATTATCTGAGAGATCTGAATGTGATTTTAATTACAGCTTTTATTATTGGAACAGCTGTAACYGAGACTGTAACAGTCAATTATATATGGGGCTTTATTGGCAAAGGGTGTTTAATATTAAACAATCATTGCTAACTGTGAACATACCTGATATAATAATGAACTGTATTTGGAAGATCAGCGTGAGATAAAGGAGTTAAATGTAGCTGTGCAGTCAGCAGCAACGGCACATTGCTGAGGGGCTATCTTGAATTCGTTCTATTTGGAAACAGAGAACTCTGAATGTTGTTAGATTATCTTTTTGAGAGCATAAAGTAAATGTTTGGTAACCAGAGATTTGTATTGCAAGAGAGAATCACTTTCACTGAAGCTGCAGTAACCCGAAGCGTAAACGTGCGGGCTGAGCTGTCAAAGCACGTAACAACATCTTTAAATAAAATGGAAGTGGCTGGAGCTGCCTGTGTCCCCACCGCCCTGCGATCAGCGCTCGAGGTTCAGCGCCGGTGGTGCTGGAGTCGCCGCGGGATCCGTGATGGAGCGGGCACTGGTGCCGGTGCTCCGCGCCRGCATTGTCCTCCCGACCGGGAAGGGGAGATCCTCATCCCGGCTCTCGGGGCTCTCGCGAAGCCTCTGCATTTCTGTGCAGAGAGGGGCTTGGAGAAAGAGAGAGCCCCAAGGTGTGAGACACGGCACAGGCGGGATCGGGAACTGCACTGCTGGGAGACGCYGCCGGGAGCTGGATCTCTGGAAGCACCGCAGCACCCAGCCATATATAGCAAAGCAGGATCTGTCAAAATTGTGTAGTTTATGGTATGCTTTTTGTTTGAAATAACATATTACCTCCTATTTATAGTAAAGCAGACTAAACAGTCCTATATGTCTGCATTGACAATTTTCAGACAAAGAGTAAGGGTACCTTTTACCTGCAAATTGTGGAGATAGAGCTCAAAATTGTGAGCAGTGATATAAATGAATACCTGTGATTTTACAGGCATATAAATCTAGAGCTTCTGCTTACATAGCCCAGCTCTGCCTGCAGCGCTGGCTGGATCCGAAGATCCCCGCTGGAGGACTACTAGGAAACAAATGAACTCGCGATGCATAGTATCTTAAAGGAAACTATAAATGGGAGAGGTCAAGGAGTAGGCATGTAAGCGACGGGAAAAAAAATCTTCCTTTTAGTTTACACAAGTCCCGCTTCCCTGTCTGCGCAGATTCCAAATAAGGAAGAGTGACTTTCCAAGGCACGAGGCCTGTACCGGCTTCCTGACCTTGTAATTCTCACAGTTCTAGACATTCCAAGGTAGGGGGTCATTCAGACAGAGTTGTAATTTCTTGTGCATATTTATTTCCAAAGTATCTTTTGCATAGTTTCCCAGTGAAATCATGGGCCGGGGAATGCTAAATAGGTTATTTTTCAAGCTTGCATCCAAAGGGCCTGTCAGAGGGGGCTGTTTTGCCCTTATCAAGCCCAAGTGCCGGGGCYGAGCCATGGTCGGTGCTTGCCGGTGCTTCCCGGCGCTCCCGGTGCTCCCGACGCTCTGGCCGCGCTGGCGTGCGCAGCCCGGGGAGCTCTGGTCCTGGTGTCTGTGGGGATTTCAGTGATGGGAAAAGTCAGGAACGCACAAGTCGGCTCAGCGGGAGGTGGCCTGAGCCCTCCCCAAGCTTTGGATTTTGTTAACCCTTTTGGTTAAGGAGCCCGTGCTCCGTTCTCTTCGCGTTCCGTAAATAAATAAACTCCCAAATTTAGGGGGGAAGGTTGTAGAAGCCCAACTTCCTGCCAAATAACCTTAACTGCCTGTGAAGGCACATCTGAACTCTTTTTCCTGGTCCTGTGTTCCAAAACCCATACTTTTTTTGAACCAGTTACATTTATCTGATCAAAGAATTAAAGTGCACCAAGGACCAGGCAGGACATCCTGAGTTTGGAGTATTCRTTATTCAATGCGTCTCACAAGGAACAGCCAGAAGTCACCTCCTTTCTGACAGAGGTTTAACTTTGGCAATTTTCAAAACCCAAGATTGTGCTAGAAATCTAGCAGACAATGTGTTCATAAAGAGAGAAGGCAGCAATAAGAGGAAGGAGTTTCCTTGGCCGYTCATGCTGCCCCCTGCTCGAAGGAGCAGTAGGAGGGCTCGTGAGACCTCAGCTTTTGCGGAGATGTGACTAACAAATTTAAGTTGAAATGTAGGCATTTCTGAATTCCAAAAATATGCAGTGCATTTGTCACTGATGTCTTCAGGCTCTTGCTGAAAAGCAAACACAGACTTTCTGCTTGCAAAAATTCATGTTAAAATCTAACCTTTTTTTTTTTTTTTTTTTTTAAGGGTTTCGAAAGAATGAGGGGAAGATCCCACAGAATCTGGGAGTGCTTGCACAGATTGCTAGTGAGAGTAAGTGTCATTTTAGGAGACACCAGTCAGGCTACGCGTGCCATATGGAGACAATTTCTACCTCAGCTGTATTTACCTTTCCCTTTGATCTGAGGAGAACAGCTCGTGTGTGTGGAGGCAGAACCTGGTCCACAGCATCCTGTTGGGTTTGGGTATTGGAAGACGTTGGGAAGAGCTCCGTTGGCATGTGCCATTGTAAACAGGAGGACACGTTGGTGAAATGAGCCTGATTTAAACACTTGAAGGGACAGTTATGAGGTGATAGGAGTGAAATGCATTTAGTGCTGCCTTTTTCCTTTATYGTTAGAGAATCACTGAAATGTAGGACTGGAAGGAAACTCCATGGGCCATATATTCTGTTCTGCTCGAAGGCAGGGTCGGTTATATGGCCATCCCTCAAAGCCATTTAAGTAACGTATTACTGCAATGAGGAGATATTCCTTATATTTAGGGAGGGGAATAGTGCCAGCACAGTTAGTTACTTACCTCCTGGAAAAAAGAAAAAGAAGAAGAAAAAAAACATAGGAGTTATTTCAGCTCTCTRAGAGTTATCATTCAAATTAGTTTAATGGTTTGCTTGGGATCACTGGAGAAGCCTGACGAGAAGATAAGATAGGGTATATGGAAGTGAAAAATCAGGGGATAATGGTTACAGAAAGGCAAAGGAACAGGTTGAACAGGCCTCCAGTTGAGGTGGTGATYTCCAAAAGTGGTAGTAGATTTTGGCAGCAACAAAATGAGTATGTGGAATTCAAAAATACACTGAGCTGCAGGTTGGTTTTTTGAGCTTTGGGTTTCCTGGTGACCTCTTCAAAGGTTGGAAGAGTTATTTTGCAGAGCTCTTCCCCCTTTATTTATTATCAGAGATCTGTGTGTGTGTGTTTGTTTACCCAGCACTGATTTTACCCCTTTTACATATAACACAAGAGCAAGTGAGAGAAGACTCAATGGCTTTCAACTTCAGATCCGAATGGTTCCTGCTTGCTCTAATTTTGTCACTTCAAAGCACTCTGCTCAATTGTTGCAAGTTGTTTTTCTACATCCAAACCATTTAATTTGGCTTTTTTTCAGAGCTGTAGCTGTCSTTTGCACTACTTTAAAGTGTAAACACTACAGTTATTTGTAGAGTGTTACTGATCATTTATTTTATCCATCTAATATTCTTATCATGCATGTTAATATCACTATTAACTGTTTTGGGTCATTTCTTATTTGTATTCCAGAAAACTACTTCCAGTGTTATTACTTATTGGTCATAATCAATTAGGGAAGTTTTTAGACTATGGCAGCCCTATATAAATACACTGGCAAAGTTCACCTCCTATGATTTCTGACAATTAAATTGTTCTGTCACTTTGGGACCTTCATTAATCTCAACTTGTCATCCTTGTTTATGCAGGTTATAATGGCCTGTGTGTGTAAGTGAAATGAGATGCTAAAAGCCCTTGGCTGTTTAACTCTTTGATGAAAGTCAAGCAGGAATACATTGTTGAGGGGAGAGCTTGGGTGTTTTCATTCCCCACAGTCGCACCAGGGAAATTACTGCACTCTTTAATGACTAGTGATGAAATAWGGCAAAGGAAGGTTTTTCAGAGGGGTGCAGACAGTGCTGTTGTCCCAGCCCTTGGTGCACATGCACGAGTGTGCACAGAAACAGCCGTGTGCCAACGGGATGGCTTTCTCCTCCAGGAAAGTGCCGTGGAGACATCACATTCCAGCACACAGAGGAATCCAACAAGCAAAGAGTTGCATTGSAAGATGAGCGTGACCCAAACGGAGCGCATGGCTAAGGCTCTCGAAACTGTGAGCTGTTGTGGGCATTGGCATGGCCTTCGGTTTGGGTGGTTCTGCCAGGGGGGTTACCTGGGACCGCTGCAGGCTCTGTTCTGAGGACTTGGCAAAGGGGAAAGTMTTCAAAGGATTAGCAATAAACCCTCCTTGGTGGGTCCGTTTGGAGGGTTGAATCTTATATTCCTGGGGATGTTTAATGTTTTCTTCTTGGTTGAAGTGTCTCCTTGATTTCAGAGTCCTGCTCTCTAGTATTTGCCAATGTACATGGTAGTGTGTTATCTTCCACCCTGGTAGCGTATTGTCTTCCACCCTGTTCTGCGTTTCTTTAAGAAGCCCCATTATATGTGTSAGTCTGAGGCAGGATTCTCACTAATCCTTCCTCCTGGAATGATCCTCACCTGAATTATAGTCAGATCCTCACCTGGGACAGCAAAGCTGCAGGTAACTTTTCTCCCCCACAGGCTWCCAGGTCTGGTTCTTGTTGGCTGAGTGTCTTCTGAAACTGAAATCCAGGCTAAAGGATCTTTGCTTTAATTTGCAGCTGGAAATGCAGGAAAGCAAGTAGCCCACTGTCCCACGCTGCACATGGGAGAGAGCTGAGGATGGACTCTGGGTCTCCTGAACCACATGGCCTCCTGGCTGACCAAGGTTAAAAAATAAGAATAGCCTTGGAGTTATCTGCCTCARATCTACAAGGAGTGTAATGATATGCTATTCCCTGCACCCTGAGAAACATGTGAGTGACATCTTCCCTCTGAGCACTAATTACCATAACTCTTAGACCAGGGAGAGATCCAGAACACTGCACAAATTATCACCCAATATCTTTAATGAATGTGGATGGTAAGTTACTTGCAAAGGTGCTGGTTAATAATCTGGAACGCATATTCCCAGACCTAATTCATTTCAGTCAGGTGGGATTTATTAGGAACTGGACTGTCACRCAGTAGTACAAAGCTAGGCTTTAGTACAGTGAGTTCACAGAGAAGCAAAGGAGAAAGCTGGTATGTCTGGTGGCATTAAAAGTGGCTTAGGCCATGTGTATAGTTTGCTTGTGGCGTGTTGGGGACATGTGGAGACGCTTTGACCCTGTGCAGTACAAGCCAATGTCACCCAAGGACCTGTTGTTCACGTGGCCTCATGGGTGACCTTCCTAAACCACAACGAGGAGAAAGGGCAGAGCAGCTCTCCCGTTTCTGCTTGCTCCAGAGGACACATCTAGCTGCTTGCTTTCTCTTTTCTGATGGGAATTTATTGAGAAAGCGGAATGCAGTGTGGCAGGGCACGGGGAGAGGCAGGGCGGCGTGCCAGCCTTTCTTGCTCCCGGGCGCTCTCCAGGGGCAGCTGGCYTCGGGAACAGAGACACAAAGACCCTGGAAATGGCACATCTGTGTGGTTTAGGTTCTAATGCTGCATAGAGCCATGGATGTGGAATTTCTTGTTGTGTTTTAAGGGTAAAACCACRTATATGTCTTTCAGGATACTCCAGCATGTGGTAGAGAGGAGTATAGGTCAGGTACAGACGCCAGGGCTTGYTCCTGCGGATGCGGGGACAGCAGCGTTACTGCTTCTGCTCCGAGAGCGCCAGCTCGTCATAGACTTCAGGGGTGAGACAAGGCTTTAACAGGCCGTTTGAAACAGACTGAAAAAAGAAACCRCTGGGTTTTACACAGCATCACGCTAAGAAAATCCTGGGTTTAGCCAATTCACATCCACCCACTGCCTTAATAAACACATGTAAAATAAACAGACCCAAACATGAGAGCTCAGTGTAGTAGCGGTTGCGAGAGCAGCAGAAGAGAAGAAGCTCGCCCCAATAACCGTGGCATAGCRGTGAAGGCCCTTCTTGCAGCTGCAGCCTCGCCAGGATGCCATTGCGCCCGCTCTGCCTGCGCTGTCGTCTTGCCCTGAGCAGCCGGGTTTCTTAGGCTCGTTATCTGGGGGGAAAGTCTATTTTTAGCTGGTGTTTGTCCACTGGCCAGATCCTGATAAGATGGCCAGTGCTAGCCTATCAAAAGTGAAAAGACAGGACCAAGCACAGTTTATCAGRGAGCTCTCGAAAAAGTTTACTGTTCCGTACAAAGGACAGATATTTATATCTTAGCCCCYATTGCCTAACGCAGTAAATGACATTGACGTTTTTATTGTTAGGACGTAGATATTTTTCCATGTTTTTCCCTCTTGCAGCTTTACCTTAGTGACATATTCCTTCTTAACGTTTTCGTTTAACACTTTTGGTACTTTGCTTCTAGCACATAATTATGCCCAGCCRCTAAGCCACATAAAGAAGTTCTGCTCAGTGGTGCCCGTGAGCCCTGAAGTGACTGCACGTGTGCCAGCTCGAGACCTGAGAGCTGGGGAAGGGCACCAGGAACCAGTTAGCTGGGGTGCAGCTTGCACCGAGTTTCTCTCTTTCTCTGATCTGATTGCTGGGGTCTGCAATAAACTCGGTGATCCGATACACGTATGGCAGCGTATATCACAAAACTGCACGTTGCAAAGTCAGAAAGTCTGGGCAAAAATGGTTCCGTTTTATGCACTTCACTGGTTGGGGCAAAAACCAGAAATTCACCTGGTGGGATTCTTAAAAAGAGCTTGTGGAGCCCAGGGTGTTTGCTCTTTTATTCATGTAAACAATGGCTTTGACCAAACCGGAGATTTTCACATTTTACTGGCAAAGCAGACGTTTTTAAATTTTTACTAAAAATAGTAAGCTAGCACTTTCTAATCAAAATTCAATTGTTTTGAATCRAATTCGGCTGTGTTTGAGGACTAATTTGAAGGAATTTAAAAAAAAAGAAAAAAAGGTCACTTATTTCTCYGCTGCACCCATCTAATATCCTCAGTGAGTGTAAGTTAGGCCAGTTTAGTAATCCACATTAAACAAGACGTGGCCTTAAAAATTCACTGTGTATTTACATGAAATGAACTGTCTAAAATTTTCAAATGAGCAATCCACGTAATTAATCAAACACGTTATTCAAAATCATTAAAGTAAGAGGACTTAACAAGGCAGGTTAATATGGGTATAAATATGTGTTCATCTGTGTGTGGTTGCCTGTGTTTACATACMTATAAATATGTATACACGAATATTTGTGTGTCTTTATTTCGGTATGCAAAAGCCTATATACATATGTACATAAAATATATATATACCTGCACACATAAAAATACTGATGCAAGTACTGGTGACTACATCTGTAGACAAATAAGGCTCATAAATTGCCACGTTTTGGTTAATCCGTATGTAAAGCATGTTACACATCAATGTTATAACGCAGACATCTTAACTTTAAATGAGACGAAAACAAACATAAAATTAGCACTTTAGGGAACCCCCTGCCACTCAATTTGTGGTGGGTTTAACACCTTCTCATTTTATATATCTTTCTACATAAACAGTTTTATATCAGCCCTTGATATGGCACCTTCAAAGAATTAAATGGTGAGCTGTTTAAAAGCGCTAATTAGCAGCTTTAATACAAAGGGGAGCCTAGTTATTAGTAAAATCTTGTAAACCTCAAATACCCTTTGGGCCCAGTCATTTGTGTGTGAAATAACTCAATAAAAATATTATATTGTTAATCACAAAAACCTTCAAGGGAAATGCTAAATCTAGGCAGAAATATAAACTGCACCTTTGCAAACAAAGGAGAACTGGCCGTCCACATTAAAGCAAAGCCATAAAATCCTGAGAAGAATATATTTATTGATAAAATGCAGCTTGTTTCCTAATAAGGGTTTTTACAGTCTCTAACCTTATGCACATACAACAACAAACATACATTAATCGAACACAGCTAGCAACATGTTTGTTAAATTAGCACTTCATTCCACTCAGTGGTGTGTCCCAGTGCCAAAGCTCTCCTGAAAAGTGGCTTTTGGTTGTGGTATGGTGGTAATTTTTATATTGATACAGACTTATTTTWGTCCAACAGAAATACATGTATATCCTTTGAGATGTTTAGAAAAGCATTGGGATCTATCCTATCTAGGTCTTTTTCTTTAAGAAAACTATATATCCTTTATTTTGTCTGATCAATTTAAATTTATGTTTGACAGTGCTGCTTCTCTCAGTGTGTCACATATGTTTTATGTTAGCAGTTAATATTTTTGATGCAGGTAAATAATTATATTCTTAAGTGTTTAAAAATTACACTAATTCCAAGGTTATTAAGGGGGCTATGTTTCTAATTTATACAAGGCATTATAGGTGACTATTATGTAGCATTATATACTACATAACGAAAGAATGCATAATCACAAAGAAAATCTTTTGGCTGAGAAACAATAACTAAAACATAAAACACTAAGAATCTCATAATTTGTAGATATGCAAAAAAAAGTCATAGTTTTTATAGCTTATCAGTGATTTCATGAGATAAACTGAGGACTTCACCTTTAAAACCTGACTTTCTGCTCGTGTTTCAGTGAAAGGTGTTTGAGCGATAGTTTGACTTTTAAATTTCTAGAAAAGCTGTTCAGAACTTTGTTTATAGTTCTGAAATAATTCTTATTATYGTTATTCATATTATTAATATTATAATTCACCCTTTGTATGCTCTCGTGCAGAATCTCTTTTTTTGTTGTTTGTCTGATATCATCCTTCTCCTCACATTTCCCATGAAGAAAAAAGTTGGGGAAAAAATACCAGGCTTGCATTTTTTTACCAGTGTCGTGGTAATGATCATTTACTGGTCCTTATGGTAAAGGATAATTTTTTTAAAAAGATGCAAATAAGGGCAATTTTTGTTATTGGTAGACCATTTAAAGCCGGAATTTCTGTGTAATGAGCAGTGTCTATCCTTTCCAGCTCTGAGCTCCTATTAGATTTTTTAAGACCCGGCTATATTCRCCATGAACATATCTTTAATGCGTTTCTGGAACATGAAAGAGCCGGCCAGGGCTCCAACGTTCCCTGCTTTCCTTCGCGTGCCGTGCTTTGCTCTTTGCAGTGTTCCATGTTACAAGCTCGTTAGTGTCTTTCAGTGCCCTTGCGTGTACCTGGGGTGTCGCGTGTCACCAGGTGCACCGAGGTCTTACCTGGGGACTCCGTGACACGCTCCGAGCGGCTCCAGCGCCCCGGAACGTGTTCCCGGGCAGCCAAGCCTCCAGAGGCGGGCTGTGCTCCTCCGGCTAAGGCCGCCCGTGATCCCCTCGCCCTCACTGCAGCCGGGCCRTGCCGGCCGCGCTTCCCAGGCCTTCCCAAAGCCACCCGCAGCGTGGGATGAAGCCCAGCCCAGGAGCGCTCCTGATCCCGCCGGGCGGCTCATCCATCAATCCCGGAGGGGACTCACCTTGGTGGCCATCAGCGGAGGCACTGGGCGCTGGGCACGGCTGTGACCCAGCCAGGTTTCCCTTCCAAACCAGCAAGCCCAGGCCCACCGATGAAAGGAAATGAGAAGATGGGCATCGGCACAGGCTGCCCAGGTGGAGTCACCGTCCCTGGCAGTGCCCAAGAAACGTGTGGATGAGGCATTTGGGGACATGGTTTAGCAGGCAGGGTGGTGACGGGTTTAGGGTTGGACTTGATGATCTCGAAGGTCTTCTCCAACCATAATGGTTCTGTAAATCGGTGGTGTTTAAAGCACTTCAGGCTCCCCTGGGGCAGGCTGGACCATGCAGCGCTGGAAGACACACCCGCAGTGTCTCTCGGATGACCTTGCAAAGCCAATGTTAAAACACCCATGAGAGAAGCCACCCCAATATTGACCAGCCTGCCCCAAACACTCCAAGTTAGCCATGTCCCGGCGATCTCTCACGGGAACTCGTCCGGCTCTGCCCTGCAGCCGCCAGCTCTTGTTTTCTGTAGGGCTTTGTTAAACTCAAGAGCTCTCCATCACGTCTCTGTTTCCTCTGAAGGTTCTTGTATACTGTGAGCAAGTCGCTCCTTAACCTTCTCTCTATTAAGCTAAACAGTCTGAGCTTCTTGAGCCTCTCACAATTGTTTTCTAATCCTGCCAGTGTTTTCCAGTCCTTTAACCGTCCCCGTGGCTCTTCCCTCTAATTTATCAACAAGGCACCAGCGCTGCCTTTGCTGCTCCATTAGTGGCCACAGCAGTGCCACAGGCAAAGATAATTTTACGCCAGGCTTCCCGGCTATATCCCCCTGTTTACATATCCCGAGAACTGAACTAACCCTTCTTATTATCTTTATTATGGTAGTGGTGGTGGTGGTACTGCCTTAAAAATAAAGCCACGTGCGGGAACTACTTGGGCTAGTAACTGTGTAGCCTGAGAGTGGATAGTCCTTGTCCCAAGAGCCATAGGACTGTTTCGTGTTTGCTTTGGTTTGGTTTCAAAAGTCAGCATGAACAATAAAAAATCCTTATCAGTATGACATTAATTATCACCGTGAATGCCTTTAAATGGATTTCTCTACGGCAGCCGTTACATTTATTTTGCTCAATAGTTTTCAGTAGTTCTGGGAACTGTTTTTCACAGAAATGTCTAATTATTATCACTAGCAATTAAATTTATTTATTATGTTTTGCTGTTGCTGAAGGAGTGTCTCATGCCAATGACATGCTCTCTTGTACACTCTCACCAAAGACTAATTGGGGGATAATTAAATTGCAGAACAAAATTGTCAATGTTGACAATGTTTCCCTTTCACAGGGTAATTTGCAACCATTTACACTTTTTTTTTTCCTCCAGTTAAAAATTATTTCACTTGTTTTTCATTTTATAACTTTTGATCATCTACCTTTTTTTTTGCCTTGGTCTCTTCTCACTCCTCTTTCTTTTAATTCCTTCCTACCCTTTTGGCCAAGAAATCTCCATATTTTGTTTTCAGACTCTGTTAACTTTTCAAGAAAGCTTGCAGAACATCAGCTACAGACTTGATCTTTGCCTTCTTTAAGCAATAAYAATTCTGCACCACAAAGAATGTATTAAACTTCATTCCTTGTGTTACCTACAGTGGCAAAGTATGCTTTTTTGTTTTTGCTTTTTATTTTTAAGAGGAAGGAAGGAATTAAATTGAAAATTTTTGCTTCTGATGGGGAAAAAATAGAAGTTTTGAAATACCAAAAACTTAAAAAAATGTAAATTTGTGAATATTTTAGGAGAAAAGGAATAGACATTTTTGKTTTTTTCTTGGAGGGAGGGAAAAAAACCCTTAAGTGGCAGTTCTTTCTGGCGCTTGCTTTCTGCCCCTCTTTCGCAGCACGTTAGGACACACAAGGGGTTAAAGGGCCGGGAAGAGAGCTRGGGAAGAGAAATCCCCCATTAATTGATGTGCCTGTCTGGTGAGGAGGGCCAGCTGAAGCTTGTCAGCAGGAGCAGGCGCTGAACGGGGCTGGGGCCCTGGCCGCAGCACGGACACCTGGAGCGCGGAGCTGCTCCCTCCTTGGGTGAACGTGGCCGGGGACGGGAAGGGCTCAGGTAGTGCTGAGCCTGGGGTGTCAAATAGGGCTTTTTCCCCCCAAAAGGAGCCGGACTGAAGCCTGTTAGCGGCACYGGGATGCTGTTGCAGTGCCAGAGCGTGGGTGCGTGCTGGAGCGCGCTGGAGACGCGTGTCGGGTGCTGGAGCGGCAGGCGCTGGTGGTGGGCGCGCTGGTGCCCGGGCTGGTGGCCGGTGGGCAGCAGGGCGTCCTGGCGAGCGCTGCGCTCCGTCCTGCGCGGCGCTCGCTCTGCCCTCCGCAGTGACTGCGTGCCGCTCGGCTTGACCCGGTGACAGAAGTTGACGCATGTACTTTTGAACCTTCCCAGGAATGAGTAATATCCCTGCCATAAAATGAAATCCTAGCGTTTTTAACCCGCCGGGCCGCTGCGCTCGCCAGGGCCAGGCGTGTCAACTGGTGGCGCGGGCGGCGGAGCGGGGAGCAGATCCATCTCAGCCCCAACGAGCAGCCCGTTGAGCGCTGGCACCGCGCTGCTCTCCTCGGCGTACCTGGGCTCGGTGCCTCTGACACCAAACGCTTTCCATGGGCAGTGGCGGGAGAGAGGACACGATAAGGTGCAAGGAAAGGAGCCTGTGGCTTCAGATGTTAACGTTGGCTCTCATTGCCTTGAAGGCTGTTGCCTCCTGCATGGCTTTGGGTGTCACAGGCTACAGCTGACTTGAAACAGGTCTTTTATCCTCCCCTCTGTTGCAAGTTCCCCAAATACTATGTTTTAATTAGAGGTGGCCCCCAAGTTTGCACTGAATTCCACCGGATTCAGAGAGGTCGCATCCAAGGGTGTATTTTGGRATTTCACTGCGTTTTCAAGACTTCAAGTCCAGGCCGTCTGTGCCACCCGTCGCTCCTCTGTGTTTGCACAAATGGACCCTGGGAGCCCAGGGGACCAGGAAATCCTGAAGGAACCTGTGCCCGGAGAGGGCTCTCGGGACACGCCGGCGTGTTGGGCTGAGTTCTGCAGCTCTCTAGTTCTGTGCGACTGAAATATCAACGTCCAGCTCTTACTCGTATGAGCTGTTTGCTGTGAATCTGCTCTTGCTTAGTCTTCTGGTAGACTGCTCCAAGGAGAAGGTTTGACCTAAGAATGATATATATCCTAATTATATCTATTACATTGAAAACTGGAAAGACTAATAAACACTGATGTTGGAAGGAGAACAGGCTCTTTAATTAGGCCATTGTCTTAATATAAAAGAAAGTATCCTTTTTTTTTTTTTGGTCAGAAAAACAGAAGAATGGGACTGCCTTGAATCTGTCTCTCACTTCAGTTTTGTTTCCTTCCAACAGAGGACAACCCCTCGCCAGTCTACAGTGCCCCGGATAAGGCTGAGGACGTTTTTTAGGGGAAGGRGAGACATAACTAAAGAAATKGTTTATTTGTTTGTTTGCCTTTATAAAACCCATTTGGGAGGAGCATCCACAAATGCACCGTACATCAGTTATCTGCTTCGTGCCGGTTACGCTGATGCTGGAGACGTCCTTTGTTAGAAATTAATGTAGGTAATAAAGTTTTACATTTTTCATATGTTTTGAAGTATGTGGGCTATAATTCTTTTGACTGCATAATTACTTTTTGTACACAAGAAAAATGAGGTGCTTAGTCCTAAGTAAATAAGCTCAAAACAAAGCAAGGATAACAGTTGCGTCTTTTTTATCTTCTGGGTCTTGCACAATAAATATTTTGTTAGAAACATAAAAGAGAAAAAGAAAAAGTTACATATCTGCAATATAATTTTGCTTAAAAAAAAAAAAAAAAGCCCTTCTAGGATCACATTGAAAGAGAAACTGAACTTACCTAGCAAATATTATTTTGCCATGTTTTTAGGTACAGAAGAATGGATCTGGAAGGTTTTGTCTCTTTGAGCATTTTGACTGAATTTTCATTATCCTCGCCTCTGRACTACTGGATTCAGCAAGAAAACCGCTGGAAAATGGATTTCAGTGGCTCCAAGGCCATTTAGGGACCTCCTTTTTCTGTCCCTCTTCCCGTTGAATGAGCATCAAGAGCCCCTGCATGATGCGAGACCGTTGGAGAAGGGCAGCCCAGTGCAACCCGAGGCAACACAGAAGCTCTTCCTGCAAATTAAAGTGCCKCTGTTTTGATTGCTAATGGCAAGTTTTTGCAAATCACGAGATAACCTTGCAAGAGGCAAGGTTGTCTAGGGTATGTATCTTGTGAGTTTGAGCGAAAAGTTTGCATTGTGGGTCTTTTTTGTTCTTTTTTTTTCCATGCATTTGGGCATCTGCCTGGTTTTCCGAACTTTCTGAATAATCTTAGTTTGAGACATCCYTTTGCAAGCTAAAATGCAAGACGCTCCTCCTGCGCAGAAATCACGCCAGGGTTGGCGCTGGCATAAATAAATCAATTACAATGCTCATTTAAGTTAAACCAATATGCTAGCAAGGCCTTAGGTTTTCATCTTGCAAAGAGTTATGTGCACGCTTGCATGAAGGGTGGGAGTGATTATCTGTATAATTCACGGTAAGCACACGGCCTTCTTATTTAAGGGTTTGGTTTTATAATATGGGCTGGATTTGCAGATCCTTGCCTCTGTATGGGCTTCTGCATAGTCGGAGCCACTTGCTCTGGGTAAAATACAGCTGGAGCCCCTCTCYTCGCCCAGCCCGTGGGCTCAACTTCGAGGCTTGCCCGCCTTGAACGAAGCGCACTGTGGAGCCTCAAGCTCCGATGGGGCCAGGCCGTTTTTTATAATATGTAAATAAAATTTACCTCCCTCCGCTGACCCCTCGGAGGGCCATTTTTGGCCTGCCACAAATATTTATGCGCGGGCTGTAAACCCCTGAAACTGAGGGGTTATAGTGGAAATGCTGACAGAGTGTTAAGGGACCTTTAACCCTTGCTTTAGCTGGCCCTGCTGTAATTACGGGGCTGCCTGTTATTTCCAATAGCACTCATCATGCCCTCGCCTCTATTTTTTAATTATAGCCGAACCTGTGAAGGACRTTATGGCAAAGTTGGGGATTTTCTCTCCCTCACTCTAATTTTGGGCATTACTAAATGCACAAGCYGTGGGAGAGGCCAGGTCTACCCGCATACACTCCTGCAATGAAGGGCTGGATTTACCGCTCCGTGCACAGTTCTTGGAGGGCAATGCGGGGCTGTGCACTCGTCACGGGGCCAGGCGTAGCCCAGGAGAAGCAGGATCCTCCATCCTCGCTTGCAGACTATGGAGGACTCTTGGGATGCCCTGGGCTCCTCGTAGGCTCCTGGGCTAGGCCTCCCGGGGAGGGAGATGAGCTTTGTTAGGCTCCTGCTAGCGAAGTGTGCAGCAGCTCCCTGCATTGCCAAAGAGGCTTCACCAGCCCCAAGAGATGCAGCTCGAGGCGGGAGTTTCCCAGGAATGCTCCAGCTTTGCAGGAGCCTCCTTGGGAGGAGCCCTGCATCCGCATGGGCCCGGCCGCGCGCCCCGTGGGGCCCCGTGACCTTGCCGAGCTCTCGGCATCTCCCACTCCCATCCACAGCTTTGGAGCGGTCGGTCGGGGTATTTTCTTTTTGAGTGGGAGTGATGGATTGGCCTTCAGTGGCTGAATGACCTTTCTGTTCCAGTCTAGACAGCTGCCGAGGGTTGGAGAGGCACGACTGGATCAGGCCCTTAGGAAATGCTTCCCCTAAAGCACTTTATGTACATTCGGAGGGCTCATGAATCACTGCGCTTTGCAGAGCGCTTTACCCTTAGACTATAGTRGATTATATTCATTGTAATATTGACGTGGAGGGAAGGCGAGGCAGCGCGGCGCTGAGCGACGGCTTGTCCTGTTGTTTGTGGACGAGTAGCAGAGCTGCTGTGTTGSAGCAGGGACACCGCCGGTGTGTTTACACGGCTCGGGAACGAGGTCCAGTTCGAAGCATGACTTGTGGGTGTTGCTCTGCACTCCCCGCTGCCCCGCAGTGCCACGCGGCGTGTGCCCGGCGCTGTGCCCATGAGCTCCGTCCGCCCGCTCTGCGCTGAAGGGAGGCGAAAGAGCACGAGCCCCTGCAGGGCATTAGCGCCGCGGCGGGGAGAAGACCTTGGAAAGGGCTCACAGGGCATTTATAAACCTGTCCTACCACGCTCACCCCTCGCGCTTACGGCTGGGGATGCTTTGCAGCCCTTCRTGTACCCACCTCCTGTCACGCACTCATTTTTTCCCACCTGGTGATGTCATTACTGTCCATTTCTCTACCTGCTTTAAGTAACTGTTAAGCTTAAATTATGCTTTTACACTTAGATACTTCTGATATGTAAATGACTATTCATAAAAGAAGCAGCTGCGTGTTGGTTCATGGTCATGGTCCAGCAAAACAACATTTTGACAGGCGAAATTTGACAAAGGAGCCATCTCTCTACGTTGTACCAGTCTTACCAGTACTTTCCCCAGAATGTTTTCTCCTGTTTTAAGGAATACGTTGTTTTGGAAATTATTATTGAAAGTGGGACTGAAAGTAGTACATTAACAAGAAAACCAACCTCTTTTTTTTTTTTTCATTTAAACTATTGAAAAATGTATAAAATAAATGCCTAACAAAGTGAATCGCTTCTCTCTTAGAAAAGAATGTCTTCAAAAAGGTGACATTAAAAGACAAAAAACAACCTGGGAACAGACCTATATCCAAGCACGGAAATTTTTGGAGTATCGTTGTTCTATCTACATAGCTCTATCCATAAAGAACTAAAGACAGCAGGTTGCTACTCTCATATTATTTGTCCAAACTGCATAGGCTGCTCAAATGTGCAAGCTAATCRCAACGGTGGTATCTCAGCTGCTGTAGCTGTAGTATGTTTGTGCTCTCCAGGCGTCTCAGTAGGTGCAGAGCTAGACCACATTGCCAGTGTCCACCCTGTGAATGTGGTTTTGCAAGGCAGGCTCTGGAGCCCCTTAGCTACCCATCCTGTGGGCACCAAGGGATGGGGCAAMCAAGTTGTTCGCTTGCCAGGCCCTGTTTTAACCAATTCTCTGTCCTTTCCAGTTTCCACAATGCCCCCAGACTGAAATTCTTGGACCTGAGTACACAGCAGCTGCCACGGCACGTGGAGACCAACACTCCTCCTTTATTTGCAGTGATATCTRTTAACAAACATCACTCTCGTTTTGGTTAAATTAAAGCTTTTTTCTTGCACAGTGCTCGGAAGCAACCCTTTCTTTCTGGAGGCCATTCTTTGCTCTCGTGCCGTAATTTGTATGTTCCCTAAATGCCACAGGGAGAGTCTTCTCGCTAGTTCTGGAGAAAACAGCATAGAGGCGAGGAAGCTGCTGGCTGCCTGTTAGGGCAGGTCAGCGACGGGGCAGGCTGATTTATGCCCCCAGAGCAGCCTGGCCCAGGCAGGGCTTAAAGGCAAGCCAAGCTTGCCCGCGGGCCCCATCCTGCCACTGCCGCGGGGCCRAAATGCAGCCCCCATCCCATGGGCACCAGCCGCCTCCATCGCCCTGGGGACACTGGGGACACTGGGGACAGCGCAGCCCCATTCCCACTGCTGTTTTTCCCCCATTCCCAGGGAGCTCGCCCTCTTCTTGGACACCTTCAGAAATGCCGCCCCGAGCCACCGAAGCGCCAGGCCACATGAACAAATCCCGTTTTTAATGCTTTGCTCATTCTGTTTGATAAATTGCCAAGTGGGAGATTTCAATGGGCCTGCGAGTCATGCAGGTGAAGGAGCAAGTTTCTGCTGTATTTTTAATGCGGGGAAAGTGCTGATCTATAAAGGATTAGAAGCCTTTATTCGGAGTTTGAACTTTCACATCCTTTAAGCCTCAGATTTTTAATCTTCAAAAGAAAATAGTCATTTCATGGCGAGTTATGAAACGTGAATTATTTATTCCTGCAGTAAATATGTAATTAGGCATATTTTGAAAATCTGTAATTAATCCCTCACCCCTTAAACCCATAAGAAATGCTAATATGCCTCTGAGGTAAGGCAGGTTTTCATAAAGGGCATTATGTAAGCTGTTCTGATCTGTTGTGTAATTATGTTTGCTGTCTGTAGTGGAAAAAAAAAATCCTAGGGAGAATTTGTTGTGGGGAAAGAAAGGGAAAGGGAAAGGAAAAGAAAGGGAAGAAAAAAAGTTATTAAATAGCAGCATCTAAAGCTTTTCATTTGCTTGCGTTTGGTTTCAAAGGGTGCAATACGTGCATGAAGCAAGAAAATCAAAGCTGTAGTTCTGATCTAGCAAATGGGCCCTGGAATGGAAGCGAAGGGGCGAAACGGCTGGGATGCGCTGGATAAAGCGAGCGGAAGCAGCGGCAGTGTCCCAAGCTCCAGGTGTGTTCCAAGAGCYGTGTTGGAAAGGAAAGGGGAAGCTTCCAGGCCACCGTGTGCTGGCCGGGTCCCAGCGGGGCACCTTGGCACCTCTGGACTTTGCAAGGATGCAGGACGTAGAGCAGGAGCCACCGGAGGGAGGCTCCTCCGCACGGCCTCACGGAGCCGCGGTGCTCATTGGAACAGAAATATGAAGTGGCTCAAAAAGCAGGCAGGCAGGTTCGTGGCAGATACGCTGATTGATGATTATTAAATATAACTGTGTGAATATAACCTCAGGGGCACTAGGCTGCTGTTTCCCAAAGCAGCATATACCCAGGGAGGATTAATCTGCGCGTGCCCTCCATCCCGTCGTTGTTACTAGGCACCTGTAATCCGCCAGYGGGAGACATGGGAGATGGGCTTGCGTGGACCCTTTCGACAGAGCTCCCCAGGCGTGTCCAAGCACTATATGATAACTGACCTAAATTCCTTATTCCCTCAGCTCCCAGCATGTTCCATGTTCCTTCTCGCTCCGTGCTCCATGCCTTGTCCCAAGGCAACAACCCTGAGCAGAGCCCCTGGCCTCGAAAAGGCCTCAGAAACCCTTGGAAATGCCTCAAAAAGGCCTCAGAACCCTTTAAATGTATGGTGAGCCCGCTCGGCATGCTTGGGACCACGCAGGATGTGCCAGCTCAGAGCTTCACGGAGAAAGGAGCGCTCCCCGGAGTCAACCCAAAGGTTGGCCATCAGTCAGGGAGATGGAGAGCCCTTTCCCTGAAATGTGGGCAGCTTCAGCTTGGAAAAGTTGTGTAGCTCCTGAAAGCTCCGCAGGAGGAAGTGGGGAAGCGGGAAAAGAGCCAGAGYGTCCCCAAGATGATGCCGTTGCAAAGTGGGTCTCTTGGAAGGAGCTCAGCTTCGTTTTCCGGCTGCGTTACTCCTAAAGCTTCTTGGAGAAGTTGTTAACCTACTGRTGTATTTATCACAGGTTTTGTGCTGCTTGGGGTCTTGGTTAAAGGCTTTGGAGGTGTGAGGCGATTGGAGAGTCTCAACTTTTGTCTGAAATGGGCAAGAGTGTGTGCTTCCCTGGGGAGAAAGACCCCAAAGTGCCACCACTCCATGGACAACCTTTCTGTTCTGAAAGCTAGGCCTTTAGCACCTAGGCTGCCTCTTAGGATGAAGGACTTTTCCAGTGAGTCATTCATGCCTCCTGAAATAGATAGCTGATATTTTCCATACCCTATATTTTCCAATAGCCCAAAGTCAATGAACAAAATAGTTTTCTGGTGGGTTAGTGATGGAGATGAGAAGAAACCCAACTCAAGGTCTGCAAGAACCTGGCCTAGACAACACTTGTAAAGGGCTTCATATGCATCCCAAAATGTTATTATTTTTAAGCCCAGTTGATAAATTCTGGGACCTAAATGATGAGTATCCAGCGCTGGCATTTAACAAAGCTACAGCTACTTATTTTAATTACACATAACTCAAAAATAGTCTTTTTTTTTTWAAGAACACAGGAAAAAAGAGAAAATTAAAATCCTTTAATGTGAGGCGCTAACTGCGCTTGCATTTCAGTTCTGAGTTCATTTTGTAAAGTGAATTTAGAGTAGCAGTGTCGCCACTGGACGTTATAGCCAAAAGCAGGCTGTYTTCCGTGATGAGGAGATAACCTCATACCAGAAGGTGCTTTTTGGTGCCGAGAAGTGTCCGTCTCACCAGAACAACCCTCAAATAGGTAAAGGGCGGCAGCAAAGAGGAAAGGAATGGTGAGTTCTGCACGCCTGCTGCAGGTGGGACAGGAGCCATGGGCTTGAACTGCGCTGAGGAGGAACCGGGTTGAAGCCTCCTTGTGATGAGGGCCATGGAGCACCACGGACACCGTCTCCAGCCCCGGAGGCCTTTGCAGCCCARGGATAAACGTCGCTCAGGAACGGCCCGGGTCGAAGGGACCCTGCCGCTCTGCTCTGCTGGCTTGGGGAGCGGCAGTTTTCAACGTGTTTTGTTAGGTGGGATGGCCCAAAACCCAGCGGAGAGGCTGTGAGGAGGGATAGACATGGGAGGAAGAGCTGGGGTGGGAGAAGGGAGAGAGGGCAAGGCACGGGGAGCCTTTAGAGGGCAGTGAGTTTCCTCGGAGGGAGAAAAAGGAGGAGTAGGTAGGGGATGGAATGGGGCTTTCAGGTGGGAGATGGGAGGAAATTGTAAAGGATTTTGGCCAGGGAGGCTCACAGGCCTCCAGAAAGAGCTAATTTCGCCAGCTTGTTCATACCTGCCTGGTTTCCARCAATGCCATTTGGCCCAGCACAGTGGAGCAGGTCAACGGGATCGTTTGCTTGTAAGCACATGTAAATTGTAGGTCTGCAATAAAAAAAGGCTTCCCCAGCCCACATGCAAATGGGAATCTGCTCTTATCCCTGTTCGGAATTCTGTGTGGCGTGATGCCCAGTTGGGCATAGCTATAAACAAGGAAGCAGTGGGACAAGCAACATGAACCCTTGGAAGAGCGCGGCGCACGTTCGCGCTCCAGTAAGTGCCACCACGCAGAGGACAACCCGTGTCCCCCCCAGCCCAGTCTGGAAGGTAGTTCGGGCTCTGCATAGCCCTGATTTGAAARTTGTGCCTGCCTTTAGGCTCGTATCAGCGTGGTGGAAACGTCGCGTTTCACCGGACAGGTCTCCGTGGGTAAGTGGGTGCGTCTGTGCATTGCGTGGTACCCGCAACGTGTGGCAAGGCAGGGACCCATGGCGTTGCCTGCTTCAGTCTTACAGAGTTGGGATTTCGTGAAGGAATATTAAGGATTTTGCATAATATTCTGCAGACGAGTTACTGGGTATTAGGATAGACCCTGCTCTGTCAGAGGATCTTCTCATATCGTTGCTCATTTATCGTTTGCTGCACTGTGAGTGCCGTGYGAAGCTGCATCCCAGGCCTCTGTGTCATGTTTCTCACTCAGATTTCCTTTATGCTTTCCAGGCTGAACAACACGGACCAGCAGGACGCTGCACATCAGCGTCCGGCCCTGCCAGCTGCTCCTTGTCGGTTGGTTTCGACCAAAAACCGTGGGAGAAATTGGAAGTGACAAAGCCTACAAACCTAAAACCAGGAGGTGATGCACTCTGCTTGCTGGGCTGGCTTGTGCTTGGGTCTCCGCTTCCTGAGAGGGTTTCATGTAATTACTACGTTACATTTTTAATTATATTTACTTTCCTTTTTGCGCTGCCCGTTTCTTACATTTCTTCCTCAGTGTACATACTGCCCCAGCAACATCCACATTTATAATTACAGAAGATAAAGTTATAATATTCCTGAGGCAAAACTGCATTTTAACAACTGTGCTAATGTGGAAAGCAACTTGTGCAGAATAAATATGCCCTACAATTAGTGGTATGCCAACATTTCTCATGGTTACCTTACATATAAATAAACTGAAGCCACTGACATTTTTCCCAAGGGCTTTTGTCTCTGCGGCCCCAAAAAAACCTGCGGACAGATTTGTTGTAACAGTATCACTGTAATAAGTTTGAGAAGTCTTTTTTTTTTTTCTCTTTTTCTTCATTTTGCCTGCTTTTGCATCTCTGGGTCTCCTCACGTGTGCAGTGGGGCTCCCCAGCCAGGGCTGGAGCTTCCTACAAGGATAATAAAACAGGAGCACTGCTTGGAGCAGCCCAGCTCAAGGAAATGCCCCTAGCCCCTATATAGAAGAGCACTAGACCTGGCTCCAGAAGCACACACATGGACACGTGTCGCTCTTAAAGCCGCTTTGTAAAGCTGCTCCTTCGAGCAACGTTAAATTCTACCGGGACTGCCAAGATTACAAAAAAAAAAAAAAAAAAAAAGGAAAACAAAGCAAAAAGGGAAATAAAGCAAAGCAAGAGCAGGGCCTGAGCGCTGGGGAGAAGGTGAGCTATAAATAAAGGAGCTCGCACAGCACTGAGACGCGCACAGGCGTGGTCTCTTTGCTGTAAAATCCAGCCCAAGGCAAGCGGATTGCAAACTGATCAGCCTGCTGCAAACATATTAGTTTTGCATTTATTTATTGCGCAGCCCTTTAGTTTTATTTATTGCTGTCGTTCCCTTCTGTACTGCAGGCAGGGCTGTCACTGCATTTTCTTTAAACTTTCACAATAAATTTGTAAGCATGGGAAAAAAACAAAAATCTGGCCATTGCACATTTTTCTGCTGTGCTTTCCGGAGACTTTGGCATTTGCAGAGGTAATGCCAGTTGTTTGCTTGATCCTGACAATGAAAAAAACCCTAGGTGCTTCCTCGTTTCAGAGGCTTTGTGTGATTATAAAACAAAAAGCAGCCGGTTTGGGCTCGGAGAAGGCGCTACCACGAGCAATCTGTTGCTAATATAGCCTAATTGCTAGTGATATTTTGAGAAAACAATTACAGTGGAAGTGGGGGAACTTTGGCGTTTATTGTGTGTGACAGCGTCTTCTGGCTCTAAAAGCTGCTGAAGTGGAGCTGCAAATAATACTTATCATAGATATAGAGCCGATGGGAAGGCTGGAGCTGCGGAACCTGGTGGAGATGTGGAGATKGGCATGGAGCCATTGGCCAGGTAGATGTGGAAGGGGACCATGCGTTGGAAGAGATGCCTTTGAACCACTTGGGTTACGCGTGGAGGGTAAGAGCCCAAGGAAGGAACCTGGGCACGGTTCCCATGGGCTTCCCCATGTCCGGGTGTCGCTGCTGGGTGTCACTGCGAGCAGGACAAGGTGCTAACAGACGTGCCCGCTGCAAACAAAAGAAGAGGTTGCCACTGACCAGCGTGGCTCCGGGCTCGTCTCTATAGCTGGAAAATGCCACGTCCTCCTGTTCACAGGCAGCATTGCTTGCCCGAGTCCACCCGAGCCTCCCTCAGGCACCACCAGGCCCTTCTTCAAAGGCCCGTGATAGAAAGGGTAGTGTTTTTGTGCAGAATTCCACCTGGAACAGACGTTGGAAGAGAGCTGGGAAGTGATTGAAGGGTTGGCYGAAAACACTGGGAAGTCTTTGTAACAGCCAGGCATGAAGTTGGGGCAAGAGTGTTGCCTTGAGTGTAGTCATCACAGCCATGGGAGAAAAGGCACCAAAGAGGCTACACTGCCTGCACAGATAATCATTTTGGGTCTAAAGAAGCCAAATGTTTGGAAATGCACAATATGCCCTGGTGGCTGGTGCATGGGAGTGGATGTAGATGCGATTCTCCTTGCTGGGCACCACAAGAGGGGTCTGCAGCAGCCCAGCCCCAACCCGTCGTGGTGAGGGCTGGGTGCTCAGGGCTCTGCTAGCTGTGGTCGCACCGTGGCTCCAAGGAGCCCAAGGGCAGGAGAGAAATCACACGACTTTTAAAACCTGTTGGTGTTGGCTTTGTGTTCTGGTTTGTTGAGCTGTAGAGTTTGTATTCACAGAGCTTTTCTCTTGTGCCAGCAAATGCCCCTTCATGCCCGCTTACAAAAACACCAACGCTACAAAATCCCAGGGCTCCAGAAGCTGGAGATGTAGGAAAACCATCAGCTCCTGTGTAAGTGGGAACAAAGGCAGAGGAGCAGTTTCGACAGTGAGAAATGGCATCTCATGAGCACTCCCTTTTTTGCCCTCTCTGCAGAACTGCTCACACGGAGACCTTAAACCCCCTCTGTGAAAGCTGTTTGCATGTGAGCAGATGGTATTTCATTGTCTTTTGCTACTGATCTTGGGTTATCAGTTATATGAAAATGCCAATTCAGCCTTGAGTGCTCTGCTGTAACTCTACCAGGACCACTAGAATGAGCACAACATATATATTGAATATTTATTATGGCACTGTGCATATTATTTATTGTATAGGCAACGTATTTTGTAGGTGAAAAATGATACCTTATCTAAGTCAATGAGCATGACCAGGAAAAATATGGCAGAGTAACCATGTGATTCATAATTGACATCTGCTCTCCAAAGACTTGGACAGAATCTGAATTTTCAGCGTAGGCTGGAAATGCTCCTGTGCTTGCTGGCATGGGCATAGCTGTGCCACTGCTCTCCTGGCACATCCATCAGTCTTTGGTATTTCCATGATTCCCGGGGCGCCGGGGAAAGCTGTGACAGCACATGCTGAAAATATTTCAAGAAGTTGCAAAAAGCACCGGCGTTTTTCAGTGTCCAGAAACAAGACAGGGAAATACTTTTTATATYCGAATGCTAATGAGGACCAGCCCATGAGTATCTCTAGGGTTTCCATAGATTCACCGAGGATTTTCGTGTGTGTGTGTGTGTGCAAGTGTGAGCATGCATGTATATGAATATAGGGATAAAATTTATGGGAAACATTAATATGTCCCCCTTCTGCTCTGATTTCACCACTCTGTTTGCATCTTCCAGGCAGCCTGGGTGTTGCCAGACCRCAGTGACCTCTGCAATCTCATTCTCTCCAGCATCTTGTGATCAATTCGAGTCTAGAAATCATCTCTGCAAAAGTGCTCTTTCCTTCCCTGCAAACTGACTCCTGGCACCGGTTTGGAGCAACATCTGCTGAGATTTCTGCCCCGTCGTTTGAAGGAAGGGGTTGTTGCTTTTATCACTTGGTGCTGGTCCTGAGAAGCTTTTGGTGTGGTGGGAACCTGAGTCCACACAGGTTCTTTTGATAGGGTGTCTCACCAGCCGACTCGTGTGCATCTCTGGTAGGTTTATTCCAGTAATAAGGWCCACTGGCAGCAAGGAGCAGCTTGCTGGAAGAGGGGAGGATTCCAAAAATTTCACAGAAATTACACAGGAGTTGGAGTCTTATCTGGTCTGCAAACATTTCTTTAGAGGAAGTAGAGTGAGCTGGTCTGTTGGTGGGATTTGAAGAAGTGGAACTGAATAGGTCAACAAGCACCGTAATTTGTGACATTCTCCTTTTGCTGCATTTATTTTCTTGCTTTTGTGGATTCATTAGTGTCTAATACTATGGCTGAGCTGAGCGGGCAGCTTCTCCTTCCGTGGTGGCACTAAGGTGCATCTTCCTGAACTTCTTAGGAACTTGCCTCTCAGCTCAGCACTCTCCAAGCAGACTGAAATAGGCTAAAAATAACCACTTCTTTTCTTTCTAGAAACTTTTAGCTTTATTGGCAGCCAGGCAGGGGGTCACAGTTCATGTGACGCCTCACGATGCCCCTCTCCGAGGTCTSTTTTCAGAGGAGAGAAGTGTCTCGCTTCCCCCTATATTCCTTGTGGGCATCAGTCAGATTGAAGTATCCGGTTGTTGGCGTCAGTCGCACGGCGGCTGTGTCGCAGCACCCTGCTCCCGTGGGAGGGAGGGAAGAGGAAGGAATGAGGAAGGTTTATGGGTGTAAACGGCCACCATGAAGCATCAGGTTTTCTAACAACTCTCCAAATCACRTTATCAACGACATCTAGAGACCAGCCCACACCTCATCGGCATGGCTGTCACTTCGGGAGCTCGGCCGAGTTTGTCTTTGCTCCTGAGCACGTCTTCCTTGCCAAAGCACTTTTTTCTACATGGAAAAGAGCCTGTTGATCGACTATTGAAGAGAGTTCAGAAGAGGCTTTGTCACGTTGATATGCAAAAGACAGCAGATTTTATATAGATRTAGGGGAGGGTCTGATCCTGCTTTTGGAAGATTCCCAGTGACTGTGCAGGGTCTTCGAGTTGCATCCAGGTTTGCTTTGATTTTTTTTCCCCTTTTGCAAAATGTCAAGAACAAGAATTTGGATTCGGGGCGGCACTGCGGGGCCACAGGGWGCTGCAGCACGAGTGTTGGGGCTCTCTCAAGTGTCCCAGGTCTTCTGGCTGGGCAAGCTCAGCAGAAATACTGTGTGAGCACCCAGTGCTTCATAGC